CACACGAAGCAAAATCCTTTCCTTTGAATCTCCCTAAATGTTCTTACAAGGTTCATCCAAAACACGTGAAGGAAGCTTTCAGATTATTGAACAAATCTATCATCCGAGTTGAAACTCCAGATATCAATTTAGACCAAGATGAAGAACAATCAATTGAAGAGCCTGAGGACCAGGATGGAGTTGCAAGTGAGTGATTTCCAGATAAGTCTAGCCCAGGGTGTACGTCGGTTTCAAGTGAGGAGATACCCACCAAAGGCAAAAAGGCAAAGTAGCAGGGCCACCTGAGTGTTACTTCTTAGGGTCTGCTTGTTTCCAATCCAGTTTGAGTGATGTTGGGCCTCTTTAAGTCTATCTTACTTAATTATTACTACCGTTAAGTTTAATAATGCCTTGACTATAGATATGCTTGGTACCATTTTAACTAACTTTAAGTGATAATTTAGGAAGGCTTTTATTTTCAGAAGGCTTTTAGTTGAATGCACTTGGTTCAACTTTTTTCTATACATCTTCATTATTTCATCATACCTATTGTGAAATGCCAAGAGAGATTTATTGCAGAGCTTTGTATGAGCTTTTTACTTATTTACTTGGGAGTAAGACTCATTGAATGTTGGGCTAATTTCTGAGTTACCGTACTTTTCAGAGTATAAGATGCACTTTTTCCCCCCTAAAAGAGGGTGGAAATGTTGGTGTGTCTTATACACCAAATACAGCCATTTTTGGCCTCCCGAAACCCCACATGTCCCTTTTTGGCAAAAACTGGATGCCCAGAGGGTTTGGGAGGCCTGCAGAGTGCTCCTGGGGGCTAGGGAAGGCAAAAACATGACTTGGGGGTTGGGGGGCCAAAAACAGGCCTGTTTTTCACAAAAATGGGGCGCACAGAGGGTTTGGGAGGCCTGCAGAGTGCTCCTGGGGGCTAGGGAAGGCAAAAACATGACTTGGGGGTTGGGGGGGCCAAAAACAGGCCTCTTTTTCACAAAAACGGGGCGCACAGAGGGTTTGGGAGGCCTGCAGAGTGCTCCTGGGGGCTGGGGAGGGCAAACATGCCCCCTTTTTTGTGAAAAATTGCCTCCTACACATCACGTTTTGACCTCCCCAGCCCCCAGGGGCACTCAGGCCTCTCAAAGCCTGTGCATGTCCTGTTTTTCGCAAAAACAGGAAGCGCAGTGGGTTTGGGAGGCCTGCAGAGTGCTCCTGGGGGCCGGGGAGGGTAAAAGCTTATTTTTTTCTTGTTTACCTCTTCAAAATCTTGGTGCGTCTTATAGTCCAAAAAATATGGTAGTATGAGAAAATTGTGCCAAAAACAAAGCTAGCTAGCATAATTTTTAGTTTGGAATTAAGACAATGTCTCCAAACCTGTATAGTTGCAGAAAGGAGTCAGTGAATATTTTTGTTGGAAAAATTTTGTAACATGAAGGGAAATAATGTTCCCACTGAATGTTTTCAAACAGCTGTGGTAAAGATCCCCTTTTTTTGTGCCCAAGAGGCAAAAAAATATATATATTGAATAGACAAAAATACAACACAATATTGAGGAAACTGAAGTACACAAAATAAATAGAGTCACATCACATATTTGTAATCATTGGGGAAGGGGAGGGGTTTTTTTTTTGTTTTTTTTTTTAGCTATTTAGGATTTCAACCACAAATTTTATCCTTTTTACACCTCAGGAAAAAAGAAACTGCCATCAATTTTCAACAATCATGGTTAGAAGGGATTCCAAGATCACAAAAAAAGGCCCATAAACCACATGGTTACACATTATGAGAGAAATCATCCTGAACGGCAAAAAAAAATTTTTTTTTTAAATCTAGGAGGATATAACTCATTGCCTTGCCAGGGTCAGTCCTTTGAGGTAGGCAAAGTCAAAGAACAGGAACAGCAAGGATTTCAGGAATGCTTTAATTGCGATAGGGTATAATAACAGAATCTTGAAAACCTATCAGTTTTGTTCAGATCTTAAAACAAAATCAGACCTGGGTTAGTTTGAGATTCTTTCTCACCCCTTTCTTCTTTCCCAGAAATAAGTTGTTTTTTATTACTGTTTTTTATTACTGCTCCTTTTACAGTTCATCCCTTTTCGATTCCTGGGACCAGGTTTACATTCTTTTACAGCCATTTAAAAGTTTCAAAAAAGGGGGTGTTTGTGGGAGGGTTGAACCAAAGCAAGTTTGAAATCCTCAACCTCTCAAAATAAGTTTCCCAAACCAGCATAGGCATTATTCCTTCCTATTGCAAGGAATGATAAGAGAAGCTTTGGAGAAAATGAGTTGACAAATAGAAATCATTAGGCTTGTGAGTGTTTATTTTGAATGAATGAAGCAAGAAATTCATTAATCCCATTCATTTCTTGATAAAGTTTCATTGTGGTTTATCAATTCCAGCCTAATGCATGAAAATTGTTTTATGTTTTCAAGGAGAGGAAGACAACATACTTACTAATGGCTTAGTAAATGGTACCAGTGACCCTGTAGATGATTCAAATAAAGATGTGGCACCAAAGGCTTCTCTGAGACTTAGTTTTCTTGAATATCAAAGAATCTCTAACCTCATTGTAATGCATCTAAGGAGATCTGAAGAAGGTAAGAATCTTCCCTCAGGGGAAGCAAGCATCCTCCACTTCTAAGATCCGCCCTTCATTGGACAAATGATGTTAGAACATATGCAAATTTCCTTCACCTCTGATAGGAATGAAGATTTTTAAATATAAATCCTGATAGAACAGATATATTATAATCTTTTTTCAGATGTGTATGGTTATTGATCCGGAACAATGAAATTGGATAGTTCTAGATAGTCAGAACAAGACAGTTCACGAGATAGAGATAGATCAACAACGCTGCTCAAAGCTGGGAGTTCCAATTACTCTAAAATTGCCATCTTTATAGGAAAAACTCCATGCTACTATAGATATAGGCATAGTCGCCCATTTTTGTATGTTTGAGTAACTGCATACATCCCAGTCCCATTATTTAAGAGAATTCACCTCTACATCCTACCTCTGGATGCCTGCAATATTTCAAACAATCCTGTTGCTACGAAGGTAGAAGAAAAAGAATTGAATTCTATATGAATAATATTCAGAGTGCAGATGACTTATAAGTTTCAAGATCGCTATGCAAAAGCTTTATTTCCAATGCCCTGCTTTTTTTGAGTGTTTTCCTTTTGTGATATGTATCTGTTCAGTTCTCGTGCAGGCAGGGACCTTGTACGAAATGCTGCGGTTTTCATGTCAGCCATAAACTTGCTTAGCCATGGAGGCACAGCATTTTTATCAGACTTTACAAGGATATAAAGATAATTGAGATGTGAATATGCTAAAGTATGCTAAAATTACATACCTGTCAAATGTATTATTAACGTAACATAAAAATATTTTCTCTTGATTGCAGAAAATGATGATGCTGCCTTTAAAAAGAGTGAGCTCATCAACTGGTATTTAAAGGAGATTGAATCTGAAATAGATTCTGAAGAAGAACTCATCAATAAAAAGAAAGTAATTGAAAGAGTAATTCATCGTCTTACACACTATGTACGTATACATAGACTCCAGGGCCTGGGGTTCTGTTTGAACGCAGATATTATGCAAGGCTCCTTATATATAGTCTGACCATACAAAATTCTAACAGCATTGGAAAAAAGTTATTTATGATGGTCCTTGCACTTATGACTATGGCAACATCCCCATGGTCACATGATCGAAATTTGGGTGCTTAGCAACCAGCATGTATCTATGACGTTACAGCATCCTGGGGTCATGTGATCCCCATTTACAACCTTCCCAGCTGGTTTCCTACAAGCAACCAGATTCGTTTAACAACTTTTGTTAATGTGATTCATTTAACAACCGTGCTGGCTTAACCAAATAAAGATTTGATGATGAATATGATGGCAGTGGTTCGCTTAACGACCATGGCAAAAAAGGTTGTAAAATAGGGCATGACTCATTTAACAATTGTCTTGCTTAGCAACATAAACTTTGGTCCCAATTGTGACTCTTAAAGTCAAGGATTATTTGTAATAATCAATAAACTTCATTGATATAAATGAAGTTTATTCGTTATTACAGGCAGTCCTTGACTTAGAGTCATAACAGGGACCAAAATTTCTGTTCCTAAGCAAGGCAATTGTGAGTTAAGTGGGTTTGTATTTAAATATGTACTCCTACTCCTAGATAAACATTAGAATTCTTAAAAAATGGAAAGTCTTTAGTTTCGGAACAGAAATATATAAAAATGCAACGTTAAGCTTTGTTAGCATTTATGCAAATTACACCTTTCTCCTCCTGACTTTTAAAATTGCAACGTTGTAAAAATGGATGTATTCATCATAATATAGCAAGCAAGACTAAGATAGCAAAATATTAATTGCTACTTGGAAATTGGCATAAGGTGAAACTGATTGCACTTAGTTTGATTGCACTTCAGGTCTTTTATAAACATGATCTGACCAAAAATTCTCTCTTTCAGGATCACATTCTAATTGAACTCACACATTCAGGATTAAAAGATTCCGTGGAGGTACAGAGCTTTGACGAAGACCCCTACCTTGTAGTTAATCCTAACTACTTGCTGGAAGATTAGAGACTGAGCAAGCAGTGCTACAAAATCCATTTCGTACCAGTGAGATAATAGCTCACTAGCTGATACGCATTAGTTGTAGATAGCTGACTAATCCGAGATTTATCTCGGAATTCGCCTACCTTGCCTTTTTAAGTAATCTTTTGTAGAGATAAAAGGAGGAGTTGTAAAACCTGGTAAAGGAAACCATTTTTTTCAGAGCTGACATCTGCTGCTTCTGTATTTTACATTTTAAAAATTGTATGCAGTAGTTCAGTAGTGCCATCTTACTCTGTAAATCTCTTCTTATTTGTGTCCAATAAATTTAAAAAAGTTCACTATAAATGCATTCAGTTTCAGAATGAATTGTTTATGCGTGGCACAGAAATACGTTGCTTCATACTTTTGGAATACCACTTTCAGGTTGGAATTACTAAGATAAAACACATTGTTAAACTAAAAACAGCCAAGTTTTGTTTTATGTTTGGGACAAAAGTTTTCAAAGCATGTGTGTTGTTTGTCTGATCTCAGAATGCCACAAATTCAGGGGTTTCATGGTCAAAGCCTTTTATTCATTGTTTATGTATTTATTCAATTTCTATAGCCTTTTACACATCCTTATATGTTGATCTTGCTGGATAAAGATCATTAGTCCAAACATCAAAATTGAATTTTACAGTTGTGATGCTAAAATATTATTACGATAATTTGGGAATAAGCTAATTTTGTTATTTAGCCTTGATCAAATGGAAAGAAATTCACGTACACACCGATTAAGATGTAAATGTAATCTAATTTAAAGAAAAGGTATATGGTCCTGATAATTCAGGTTGGCTCATGCTACAAGGATCGTTTTAATTCTCATACATGGCACTTTTTTTTTAATCCAGAAAATCTCATTGCTACCTATTAGTCAAGGTGAATTTTTAGTATTGAGAATACCATGTTGGGGAGAAACTCATAGTTTCTGTGTGTATTTTAGAATCCAGGTGAGCTAGCCAGATGTAGAGGTACCCTCTGTATTGGTTCTAACCCCCTTCTGATCCTTTGAAGCACAATTTGGATTAAAAAAAATCTTCGGGATGTGACTGAATACTGTATACCAAGTATCCCACAAGAGTTACACTGGCATCGTTGACTGTTATCTTTTCAACATCTGCCTAGACTCCATTTGGATAGTTAGTGACCTATGGACTTGGCAATACATTAATAAGTAATAAGTTCTGCCACTTAAGTTGCATTTTTAATGCTTGCTCCCTACCTTTAATAAAAGACATTCAGAGAATTAAATATCTCATGGTGTTATTGTAGTACACCACCATTAGGCACCTTTGTATCTCAGCAGTTATAAAAGTTAAATGTTAAATTTTATTATCTCTGATCTAATATAAATGCAGCATGAGTCCTTGTGCTGTAGCATCCACAGACATGGAGCTAGTTTATAAAATATGTTTAGTTTTTCTCTTTCCTTTTTTTTGCTTTGGAGAAGGCTGGAAATTTGGCCCTGGTCAAGGGCGTATTTTCATCGCAGGTCCTCTTTCTGTTGAGTTAATGAATTCATTAAATTTCAAGAGTGGATGTATGGGAGAACCTATGCTTTATTCTGTAGAAGCTCGGCTAGATTGTCTTTGCCATCAACAGTCACTCACTTCTTTGTCATCACACTTTGCCAAGCTCCGGGCAAAAGGTGTGACGCATTTTAAGGTGGCCTTGCCATGGTCTCGTATCCTGCCAGAAATGAAGGCTCAAAAGCCCAACAAGAGAAACGTGGAATGCTACCAACAACTTCTCACAACTCTCAAATATGCTGATCTTAAGCCAGTTTTGATTCTGCATCAACATGGTTTGCCGAAATCTTTAGGCGCTCGGCTTGGATCTACCACTTTTGCCGATCTTTTTGCTGAATATGCAGACTTTTCATTTAGGACTTTTGGTGAATCAGTGGGCACCTGGATCACTTTCAGCCATTTGCCTGAAAATATCAAGGAATTACCTCTTGAGGATCCAAAAGACTTTCCTCTAGAAATGCTAGTTTCAGCACATCAAAAAGCTTATAAAATCTACCATGAAAAGCACTCATTTAAAGGTAAGTTGGAATGAATGAATCGATGAATGAATTGCAGTTTTGGACAACGTGAATTTTAGAGATTGGAACATAGTGTAAGTGAGTGCAATGCTTAATGAGCTAATACCACATATTCTAGGAAGTATCACAAGGTGTTTTAAGACTAGCAGAGTAATCTTAAGGGTGAACATTTTTTCAAAGAGAATTTTATCAGTCTTAATTCAGTTGAATTCCTGACTTCTTATTGTGCCTTTCTTAAATAGAAGCTGCTTGTTTTCTTCTATTATCTCAAATCCATCAAAGCCAAATGCATCTTCCCTATCCACAGGCACAGACAAAAGCATGCATCCTGCTTTTTGAATAGTTCATTAGTTATTCATTCATTCATTCATTCATTCTCTAGTACTGCCAAATCCTCAAGGCTTACCTGAAGACTCCTAACTACTTAAATACTGGTTCTTTCTTTCCATTCATTTTTCTCCTTGGATTCTTTTAACAATGTATTTTTTCCCTAATTTTCAGATGGAAAAGTATCTATTTCCTTGGACTTTAGTGATAATCAGCTGGTTCTTCCAGAATCATTCATATCTTCAGTTTGGGTAATGTGTTTAATTTTCTTGGAATCAGATTAGTCTCCAACCTGTAGCTGGAAAAAAAAAGAATTCTACCTTGCAAAACATGACACAGAATTTCCTAAAGCAAATGCAGCCCATTAGCAGTTTAATGAAGCAGTTCTTGTAGCCTGTTTGAGATTGTCCAACATCTGGCAAGCTGAAGATCCTGTTGGAAAAGAATATAGCACAAAACATTTTGTACTGTACCTGTTGTCTTTATGGAATTCACAGCAATTAGTTACCATGGCCAGTAGCCTAGCTAATCTCAAAAGGGAATATGACACATTTATAGAAATAAGCCCATGAAATGGCTGTTAGTTATAATGACACCATGGGAATACCAACCTTTGAAGCCTGGCCTTTGGGGAGTAGAAGAGGACTTTTCCATTGAGGTTAACTGAGAAATCTTCCTAAATCTGCAAGTGAGCTATTTTAGGAAGCAAGATGCTGGATCAGATGAATCTAACAAGACTTTAATATTCTCAGAATATCTTCAGAAGTGATCTGATTTATTTTTTTATCCAACTGAATGCATGTGCCTTTTTTGGTCTCCATGGGGAACTGCAACTGATCACTGTCTTCACAGCTGAAAATTATATCCCATAGAAATAATGGTAGGATCAGTGGTGTCAAACTGGTGGCCCAAGGGCCAGATGCATCATGCATAGGCCACGCCCACCCCAGCTACACGAAGTGGGGGAAACCACAAAATGTCATGAGACTGCAACGTGACACCGCGAGTTTGACACCCATGTGTTAGGTGATAGCTAGGCCTGTAGCTAGATTCAGCATAGCCACACCATAGTGCAACCTCTGCACTCCCCCCGCTTTTGGCACGCAACGGCAAAAAGGTTAGCCATTACTCTACTATGCTTTAGAAGAAAATGTACCTGTTTGCTGATGTACTTTGCTGTATGCATACATAACTTTGATATATTTTATTCAAGATTTGCAAATGGTGATTTCTCTGCTTTTGCAGTAATTTTTTTTTCCACCTTTACATTTGGAGGATGTATAGTGGGAATAGATCTTTGAGATTTTGTGTTTTGCATAATTTCAGGGGTTATGGATTTTTCTCAGATTTGCATTAGCATGCAAGAGTAGCTAATCCATCTTTAAAATCTGAAAATCGGGCATCACCGTGCTAAAGTAATTCTGCTTCATAATTCGTTCTCTTTGTATAATGCTGTTACGTTCCTTCAGACCAGCCAGCCATCAAAGTATAAATGGGTGTTTTAAAAATAAACCTCGTTCCAAAATATAATGTAAAAGGAGCATTGAGGGAGGAGGTGTGGATTAACAGTCAGCAGCGTCAGAATCTATATGTGTCACATGCACCAAAACGGGGCTAGCCATGCCTCCCATTTTGATCCTGTAGGCACCTCCCTTGGCAGATATCCCTGATTATCCTGATGAATGTTCTTCCAGAAGTATAACTGCAGAAATGGTTGCAGATATTTATGGCCTCTCCATAACAAGGTTCTGTTTCATTTTAGGGCTCTATAGATTTTCTGTCCCTCAGCCTACGGTACAACTGTAAGACCGAAGCGAGTATTGAAAAGATGCTCAGTGAAATCAAGGTAATTCAGATCAATTGCACCAATTTACTTTGTAGTATTCTGCAAACTTTCTTGAATGGCCTTGCTGATATTAATACAGACTTTTTGCAGCCTTCCTCAATTCAGTGCTTTTCCGATGTCTTGAACTATCGACCTTTCTCCAAAGGTTCTGTAATCAAACACATCTGGGTGGGATACGTTGCCTATCTAAGGAAACCTTAACTAAGTTTCCCTGAATTAATGTGAGTGCAATTTGGTGCTAAGCTGGCTGTTCATCTCCAAAGCAGATACGCTGCAATTAATTTTACAGAATGTTCACTTAGAAACAAGCCACAGAATTTGCCTGAACCTTGCACACCGCTCAATTCTCTATGTATTTATTTGCAAATAAGACCTGTGTTTATTGGGTTTGCTCCACTGAATAGAAAACTCTGGCCTTCATCTAACTGGGTAATAAATCCAGTATGTGTGTGTGTGTGTGTGTGTGCGTGTCTGATATTCTATCCTCCAAATCTTTCCTTTTGATCAATATCCATTTTGGTTCAGACTACCTATTTTTTTTAAGCATGCATGAGAATGAGTCTTTAATGTTGCCCTTGGTCTAAATGGGAAGGCATTTTCAATTAAGGGCCATTCTGATGTGCTGTCTGAGGATTTTGACCAAACATAGCAGGAAAACTCAGGGTGAGGAAGGATGTTGATGGAGAGTTTTATTCATACATCATTAATCACCAGCATTTACCAAACCTTTCTACAGCACTTAGGAAAAGCAATGTTGCCTTTTTTATAGGGAGTAATTCAGAGGTGGTATTCAGCAGGTTCTGACCAGTTCTGGAGAACCGGTAGCAGAAATTTTGAGTAGTTCGGAGAACTGGTAAATACCACCTCTGACTGGCCCTGCCTCCATCTATTCTCTGCCTCCCGAGTCCCAGCTGATCAGAGAAAATGGGGATTTTGCAGTAACCTTCCCCTGGAATGGGGAGGGAATGGAGATTTTACAGTATCCTTCCCCTGCCATGCCACACCCACCCACCAAGCCATGTCATGCCCACCATGCCACGCCCACAGAACCAGTAGCAAAAAAAATTGAATCCCACCACTGGAGTAATTCTCCCTTAAGTAAGATTTGACTGATTGATTGTCAAGTCATTCAATTCCTAGCAACCACACAGATTTTCTCCAAGATGATCTTGACTCTCACTTAAGACTAGCACATGTCATAACTTAATATGTTTTGGTTTCAGCATCTCATACATGATAAGGATGTTCTACTCTTTACTCTAAACTTCTCTGGATGTTCTTCTGTTGAAGAAAACCTACCTACAACAATGGCTTCCATTTTCAGTGGTATGTTTCTTGTGTGGGAACTAGGACAAGCGTTTCTTTTGTGTGGCTTAGACGCATATGGATTAGGAAGCAAGAAAAATACAGCAATTTTCCTCCTGCACTACTGCCCGGGGGAATGCTATTTATTTCCATGGGGAGGGGGAAATCAAATGGATACTAGAGGTTGAGAGCAATAACTTCACATTAGAGGATAACCTTGTTATATGAGCTGCAAATTAAGCAGTTTCTCTTGAGTGTGATAGAGGATATTGCACTTAGCAGAATGTTTTAGACCTCTCTTGCTAAAGAGCTGATATGCCTAAGAAGGGCCAGTAGTCAAACCGAAAGTTCTTATTTATTCTTGTTTTTCTATTCATTGCACTGAATCTGTTCTCTATTTTCCAACCATACATGAAGCCGAAGCACAGGTGAAAGGCTACGATGTGAACTCCTTCTTAGAAAACTTAGCCGTTCCAAAAGCAAGGTATGAAATATTAATTTTTTTTTCTTACGTGTGATTAAATAAATAAAGTGCATGGGTTTTTTTGACAGTCCTTATATGCCTCTTTTATAATAAATATTTGGTAAGTGCAAGCATTTTGGTCAGCACTTAAATACCGTGTTTCCCCGAAAATAAGACCCTGTCTTATATTTTTTTGAACCCTGAAATAAGCGCTTGGCTTATTGCCATGTGCTCAAAAAGCCTGATTCGGCTTATTATCAGGGGATGTCTTATTTTTGGGGAAACAGGGTAATGCCATTGCAGTAAATCAAAAATATATTTCGTGTTAGCTTCAGAAATCCCGTGCTTGACCACAACTGTGTTGACTTCAGGGGTGCTGTATATGTGGCCATATATTTTTAGTCTAACTGTTCTAAACTTCAAATGTTTTGGGAGAGCAATCTGGCAGTTCAAGAGAGGGCAAACACTGTATTGCCTAAACGCATTACCGCTATTCTTAACTTCATACAAAATATTCCGACAATGGTTTGGTTGCTTTGAAAATAAGGAACCCTGGGATCCAGCCAGGAATTCTTAAATCCCTGGCACAGCTCTTTCCCCAAAGTTTTGGGGAAACTTTGCTTTAAGCCATAGCTCTTTCCCCAAAGTTTTGACTACTGCCCTCTGCTTTCCTCCTAAAGTACCCCTGGATTATCAGATCATGAGAAGTCAGTCCTACAACTGGCTGCTGTGCATTGTTTGACTACCTGATAACTGACTGTTTGATAAACACTGTCTGCTCTCAGAACCCTTACAAGCTCTTCAGATTAACATTTTTATTGAGTTATAAAGTATTATAAAATACAAAATACAAAAATAAATAGAAAAGCAGGGAGGGGGAAAGGGGGAGGAGAAGTGAAGAAAGATAAGAATTTCTTTTCTTATCTTTCCTCACTTCTCTTCCCCCTTTCCCCCTTTCTTTTTTTTTTTAAGAAAAAGAAGCATTGACTTCCGACTCTCTCTGTTACAGTAAAATAAGGGATTAACATGAAATCACAACTTTTTGCTTTTTCATAATCATATGAACAAGCCATTTCTATAAAGATCTATCAGTCTAATCAGTAAAAGCCAAAGTCAGATTTTCATTCTTTTCCACATCAGGCGGAACTCTTATTCATGCTGCTCTCATAAAATGGCTTCATCTAGTATATTAATTAGATCAAGAGATATTAACTAGATCAAGAGAAGAGATTGCTGACATTTTGCCAGTTCTGAAATAGTTCCTTTCATCAACAGCATGTTGGTGGTGTATACAAGTAGTCCTCGACTTACAACAGTTCATTTAGTGACCGTTCAAAGTTGCAACGGCACTGAAAAAAGTGACTTATAACCATTTTTCACACTTAGTGACCGTTGCAGCATCCCCATGGTCACCTGATCTACATTCAGATGCTTTGCAATTGACTCACATTTATGACGGTTGCAGTGTCCCAGAATCATGTGGTCACCTTTTGAGACCTTCTGATAAGCAAAGTGAAGGGGGAAACCAAATTCACTTAACAACTGTGTTACTCATTTAAAGAACCACAGTGCCTCACTTAATAAAGTTGGCGAGAAAAGTCGTAAAATGGGGCAAAACTCACTTGACAAATTTCTCACTTAGCAACATAAATTTTGGGCTCAATTGTGATTGTAAGTCAAGAACTTCCTGTACACTCTCCTTCCCAATCTGGTGCGTACCTCACCAACATAGTTGATTTTCAGATGGGCTGGATCAGCTCTCTTGATGCCCTGGAGCTGAATATCAAAATCTTTGGAGGGATTCAGATTCAGATGCAGGGTTTTTTTTAATCATGTATGTCTGTATGTGTACATACATATACATATACACATACACATGAACACATTCCCACGTGCAGACAAAATATTAGCCAATATGGCTTAGAACTTTATAATATCTCTCTTACCAATGAAGAGATGACTCATTGGGCCAGCCAACAGACTTTCTACATTTTAGTCTGATTTACGGAGGCAAAACTAGACTAGTCATCAAAATAACCAACATGCATCATATTGTTGGGCACAAATTCCACCCTTGGCGTACATGGGTGTAATGTCATGACGCATGTACAAAAAGGCAGGTATCACAACCGCCAATTCAACATTTGCTTTGAATTTCTATATTCGTGGTGGGTTTTATGAAAATCTATACACTAAAGATTGTGTAAAACCCTGGATGATTCGCCCAACAAATATAATGGTTTTCACATCAAGTTTGCATAACATAATCTGTATTTTGAAATTACTTGCCAAAATTTCATTTGAATGATTTGAATGAATTCATTTGAACGAGTCATGATAAAAAGTGCAGTTATTGATATAGTCACATTTTTTTAAAGCTCCCACAAGGATCCAGCTGTTCAACCAAAGCAGAAGGAAGACTCTACACGAGCTGGGACTCCGCTTTCAACCTATCAAAAGACTTGGGGAAAATTTGCTAACCAAACTGAGCTGGAAAGAGACTCTTTTTTGTCAGATACGTTTCCCAGTGGTTTTCTCTGGGGTACATCAACAGCATCCTTTAATGTTGAAGGAGCCTGGGCAGAAAATGGGAAAGGAGAGAGTATCTGGGATCGATATGGACATCAAGGCCAAATCCATAAGAATCAAACCGCTGACGTTGCCTGTGATAGTTACCGCAAGGCCGAATATGATATTTATCTGCTTAGAGGCCTTCAGCCCAAGATCTACAAATTTTCTATATCATGGTCTAGGATTTTTGCCAATGGGGACAACAGCCTGAACCCTCAAGGAGTGAATTACTACAACAAACTCATTGACAACTTGCTGGATTCTGGCATTGAACCCATGGTGACCTTGTTCCACTGGGACCTTCCTCAAGTGCTGCAGGACTTTGGTGGTTGGCAGAATGAAAGTATCATTGATGCTTTTGTCAACTACGCAGCTTTCTGCTTTGCCACTTTTGGAGATCGCGTCAAGCTCTGGATTACCTTCCATGAACCCTGGGTCATTACCTATGCTGGCTATGGTACAGGGCAGCATCCTCCAGGAATCGTCAGTCCAGGCATGGCATCCTATCAGGTACCAGAAGCAATAAAACTTGCCCTTACTTAAAGGTTGAAGGACAAAAGGTCATTGTTAATTGCTACTTAATCTGAATTAATATAAATCACGTATTTAACAGTTTGAAAAGAAGAATGAGAAATCCAAGTCCTGAAGACTAAGATCAAACTGCCAAGCATTTAAGAGAAAAGTGGGCAACCAGTGACCGATAGGTTGCACATGGTACCTACTTCTCCTTCATGGTCCTCAAAACACTCTCAGAACCCTTCAAATATATCTGGAATGGAAAGGGCCAAATTCTTAAACCCGGCTTGGCCTATTGTAACCCATCTGCTTGGCCTATTGTAACCCATCTGCTTGCTATCTGTGCCAAAAATGGGCTGAGAAAAATCCTTAGATTTTTCTTCTCAGAGTATGGTTAAAGGTAAAGATAAAGATTCCCCTCGCACATATGTGCTAGTCATTCCCAACTCTAGGGGGCGGTGCTTATCTGCATTTCAAAGCCAAAGAGCCAACGCTGTCCGAAGACATCTCCATGGTCATGTGGCTGGCATGACTAAACGCCAAAGGCCCACGGAACACAGTTACTTTCCCACCAAAGATGGTCCCTATTTTTCTACTTGCATTTTTTACGTGCTTTCGAACTGCTATTTTGGCAGAAGCTGGGACAAGTAACGGGAGCTCACCCCATTACACAGCACTAGGGATTCAAATTGCTGAACTGTCGACCTTTCGATCGACAAGCTCAGTGTCTTAGCCACTGAGCTACTGTATCCCTTCATACTTCAGAGTATGGTTAGTCAAGCCTAAATCAGGAGCCTCAATAGATGAACATTAGCACCTGCTGATATAATATCACCTGGATTAGCACTTTTTCGTATTCCTTCTTGTCAGAGATACTACTGTAGCATCTGAATTTGTAACTTTGAATAAAATATTCAGTGGAGTAACGTCTTACTGATTTTATTGTATGTTTCTGTTTTCCAACAGGTAGCTCATATCATTCTCAAGGCACATGCTCGAACTTGGCATGTTTACAACATGCAGTACCGTTCCCGACAGCAAGGGAAGGTTGGCATAGTGTTGAACTCTGATTGGGCTGAACCCCGAAATCCCGGATCTCCCCAGGATTTGAAAGCAGCCGAGCGCTACTTGCAATTCATGTTGGGTTGGTTTGCTCACCCAATATTTATTAATGGTGATTATCCAGAGATCTTGAAAACCCAGATTGCGGAGACAATTAAGCAGTGCTCTGTCGACATTGCCAAGCTCCCCACATTCAACAGCGAGGAGAAGAAGATGGTGCAAGGAACAGCTGACTTCTTTGGCCTTTCTCATTATACTTCTAGACTTGTTGGCGTTTTGGATAATCAAACCTGTAATTCAGATTATGAGACCATTGGGGGCTTTACCCGGCATGTGGATCCTTCTTGGCCGACGACAGCTGCACCTTGGTTGCATGTTGTTCCCTGGGGGTTGAGGAGATTGCTGCATTTTGTGTCTGAAGAATATACAAAGAGCAATATCCCCATATACATCGCGGCAAACGGTGCACCTATTGATGATGGAGCCGATTTGATTAATGATACCGCAAGAGTGGATTACTATCGTCTCTATATCAATGAGGCTTTAAAAGGTACAGAAGGTTTTCATGTCGAGTGTCTGAAAGCTTGGTGAATATTTGGCTTTTTCACCAGATGCTAGTTGTTAGTGTCCCATGTATTGTTTATCTATATTGGCCTGATAGGTAAAATTTGCATGTCTACCTGAGCAACCCAAAAATCAGGGAAGACCTGCAGTCCCTACAGCTCCAAAGATCATTCTGCTGAAACCCATTGGCAATGTAACCGTTTTAGATGCTAGGTGTAGCACACCTATTCCATCTCAATCAACTTCACATACTCTCAAAACACGCATAAAAATGTTTGAATGTCACTTCATATCTCCCATGCTTTTGGGAGCCAAATCATTAAAACACATGCAGAGTGACTCCAGTTGCAAAGGTTTTTCTTATAAAACTCCCAAGGGGTATTACTTCACTTTCTAGAGTGACTTGATTTCAATCACTGCTGTGGCCTTCTTCAAGAGAGTGCCTCTTTGCCTCCAACTGAAAACATCAAGACTGGGCACCTTATTTGACTTTTATACTTTGGTGGAAATGTCTTCTGCTCAGAAGATTGCCCCAGTCTAGTGAAATAATCAGTTTGATGACATTGCCCAGAAATGGAGAGCTACTTCATTTCCTAGAGCTGTGCCAGAGAGAAGCATTCCTTCAAGGCTTCATATTGGCCTGTTATTTATCCTGGCTTAAAATATACAAATCTATTGTTTGCCTTCTCATACCAGACCATGAAAGATGGATGGCACTGGCTTGGGGTCTACTACTGAGCTTCAGGTAGCACAAAGGATTGGCAGCCATCACTGGTAAAGCCAATCAATTGATAGAATCAAAGGCCATTTCTCATGCATAGTCTTATGGGTTGGGCAGAAAGGCTCAGGGAAGCTTGATGGGTAATGCTGGAATACCTGGCCCCTTGCAATGAAATCCTTGATCAAAGAAGCATCTCTGTCATCTAATCACTACAGCATAAGTGGAGACTTACACATCCCGATGAATCAGAGACTGCCGACGTAACTGTCAAAAGGCTTTACTTACTTTTTAAAATGTTAGTTCACTTGTCCAGCTGTGAGTTATGTATGATTACAATCAATAATGTTTTTAGCTTTTTACCCTGAATTAAGAGGTTTGTTAAGATATCACCCCTTTTTATGCCTTTTGTATGTCAAAAAGGTACAACAAAAAGGGTAGGCTGCAGTTCCTCAAAGTCTTGTGTATAATCCCAGAACTTTTCCATAACCCGATACCAAAGTATAACTTTTAACAGTTGTATTTCAAGCTAAATAAAATTGAATATAGTTTTGGTTCTATAGGGGAAGGAATGGCAGAACCTGGGGGCGGAGATAAAAGGGGGCAGAGATAAAAGGCCTTTGATTGTCTAGAACCATGATGGCGAACCTATGGCACGCGTGCTCAGCTCCGTCCCACCGGAAGTTGGCAAACGGGCCGTTTCCGGCCTCTGGGAGGGTGGGGAAGGCTGTTTTCACCCTCCCCAAGCTCCTAGAAAGGCTTTGGAGCCTGGAGAGAGAGAAAAACAGGCCTCCTGGGCCCATTGTGCCATCACATGCCAGGAGCGTGGGGGTCATGCGTGCATACGTGGGGACGGGCCGCATAGAATTATGGGTGTGGGCACACGTGCGCGTGACCCCCCTTCCCGTCCCTCCTAGCATGCAATGGCAAAAAGGTTAGCCATCACTGGTCTAGAATGTCTACATAGCCACAAGTAAACTAAGATCAACCATCTTTGAATTCCATGGACCCTTATCTAACTCCAAGCAGGTGCTCTTACTTGAAAAGATTTCTGTCCATATTTAGCAATAAATCAGTTGAATTGGATCCTTATATGTGGACCTGATCTTTCATGCCTGATAGGTTGTGATCCTACTGAGAGACCACTTATGGCCTGCACATATTCACATCACTTTTGTGTAGATGAAAGAAGGATAAATTTTTGGTTATTCTGTGTATTTTACAGGACTGAATGAAAAACTAAATAAATTGTTTGTTCTTTGCTCAACAGCTGTAAAGGAAGATGGTGTGGATGTTCGGGCATATATTGCCCGATCATTGATTGATGGCTTCGAAGGCATGTCAGGTTATAGTCAAAAATTTGGCTTCCATAATGTGAATTTTGAAGATGCCAATAGACAAAGGACGCCAAGAAAATCTGCATATTTCTTCTCTTCTGTGATTGAAAATAATGGATTTCCTAATGCAAGCATGATAAAACATACCCAGCCATTCAGAAAGCATTTTTCCATGTTCTCGAGGTTGCCTAATTTGTCAGCATCTGAAGTCCCATCAAAGGCAAAGATAGTTTGGGAAAAGTTTTCTGGTCAGACTGATTTTGAAAGAGACATGTATTTTTATGACACTTTCCCAGAAGATTTTCTGTGGGGTGTTTCCACTTCGGCCTATCAGATTGAAGGAGGCTGGAATGCAGATGGGAAAGGGCCTAGCATATGGGATAATTTTACTCATGCGTCAGGAAAAATTAAGAACAATCACACTGGAGATATAGCTTGTGACAGCTACAATAAAGTAGATGAAGATCTTTATTTATTGAAAGCCTTAAAGGTGAACAGTTACCGCTTCTCCTTCTCATGGTCTCGAATTTTTCCAGATGGCAGAAACCAATCTATAAATAGTCATGGGGTTGATTATTACAACCGATTGATCAATGGTTTACTGGCTGCAAATATTACACCAATGGTCACTTTATACCATTGGGATCTGCCTCAAGCTCTCCAAGATATTGGTGGATGGGAAAACCCTGATCTGATTGAACTGTTTAATAGTTATGCCGACTTCTGTTTTCAGACTTTTGGAGATAGGGTTAAATTCTGGATTACTTTCAACGAACCTGTCATAATTTCATGGTTTGGCTATGACACAGGAGTCCATCCTCCGAATGTAGAAAACAATCCAGGTGATGCCCTCTATAAGGTTGGTCATACAATACTGAAGGCTCATGCCAGGGTATATCATACATATGACCAGAAGTATAGGAAAAGCCAGGAAGGTGTAATTTCCATAAGTCTCAACATTGATTGGGTCGAGCCGAAGACACGGAGAAATTCCCGCAATGTAGAAGCAGCAGATCGGTTCCTCCAGTTCACTGCAGGATGGTTTGCACATCCAATTTTTAAAAACGGTGATTATCCAAGTGCCATGAAATGGACAGTAGGAAACAGGACTGATTTACAGAAACTGCCCGTCACCCGCCTTCCCGTTTTCACTGAAGAAGAGAAACAATTTATCAGGGGCACAGCAGATGTCTTCTGCTTAAACTATTATACCGCCAGCTTTATACAGCACAAAACCACCAAGTTGAAACCATTTTCTTATGAAACTGACCAAGAACGAGGCCTGGAGAGAGATTTTTCATGGCCAACCACAGCCCTGGCAAATACGCCAGCCGTGCCATGGGGGCTCCGGAGGCTCCTCAACTGGATCAAAGAGGAGTACGGCAATCTACCTATTTACATTACCGAAAATGGAATTGGAATAAAAGCTAAGTCAGATGTTGATGATACCAAAAGGATATTTTATTATAAAACCCACATTGATGAAGCTTTGAAAGGTAATGAAAATAATAATAATAATTATTAAATTTATATGCTGCCCAACTTCCAATGGCTCTTGATGATGCTTTAAGAATAGCAATTTAACATCTGCTTGTAGGTACCAGATAGGAAGCATGGATACATTTTTGGGTTCAGTGGTTACTGGACCTCCTTGGAAAGTTTAGACTTATCATGGGCATCCTGATCATCTGGTGGCCAAGATGACGTCATGGAACATCTACGTTCCAAGAGGGAACCTTGAGTATTGTGCACTAATTCAGCTCACCTTTGGACTCTTCCAAGCAATGAATGCAAGCCCAGAGGCATTCCTGTAAATAATCTAGACTAGAGGCTGTTTTGCTTTGCTTTAAGCTAGGTATCGATTTAATTTTGTTTTTATTAGAAAAAGCTAAACAAAAAAAGAGCAAAGCCAAATTTGACACATTGCCTATAGTCATCTTATTACTCAGCTAAACTAATCCAAGCTTTAAATAATGTTGAAAGGAAGCAAAGTACTTAGGACTCAGTGGAATTTAGCATTGGCAAAATATCCTTAGGATTGCACTCTTAGATAAAAATATAAATTAAGAATGATTACATTTAAAGTTAATTAAATCAAGCATGCGTACCTAAGCATACATTCCTGACAGTAAATGCTATTGACCATGTAGGAATTCAGAATAAAAGTATGCAGGGTTGTATCAGTCATCATTTTAAATACAATAAGTCTTAATTAACTTTTCAATTACTTTTACATCTGAAAAATAATTGTTTTCTGGAATGGCCACTGAGTTTTAGTAATGCTTTCTTAGAGGAAATTTCTCATGTATTCTCTGTCTCCTGCAAATGAAGTTATTTCTTCAGAGTTCAAAGGGATTTCTTCCCAGAAAAAAACATGTAGTACTGTAGCCTTGTCCAACAGAAGTTCTGGCCAGTAGTTCTGAGTGTTGTAGATCCAGCATGTCTGAAGAACCGAGTTCAGAAAGGCTGCGTTTGTATTCTTAGTGTCATGGATCATGAAATCTGGGAATAAATCCATTAAATGTACATAAAACTGTAGGCTGAAGGACAATTTACTTCCAGCTATTCCCAAGATTGCTACCTACACTTACACATAAGTCAACAGGAGCAAATCATCAACTCTTTTCCTTGTTTCTTAACTTCATTTTCTTTTTTAGCATTACAGTAAACATATCTAATACAAAAACAGTCTTTTGATTTTTCTGTTGTTGTTTTTTTAGCCTACAAACTGGATGGAGTAAATCTTCGAGGGTTTTTTGCTTGGTCACTTATGGATAATTTTGAATGGCTGCATGGTTACGAGCCAAGATTTGGCCTGCATCAGGTTGATTTTGAAAATCCAAACAGGCCTAGAACCCCTAAGGAGTCTGCTATATATTATTCAGAAATCATACGTAACAACGGATTCCCGCTGTCAAAAGACGATGAGTTCCTTTATGGAGAATTTCCCAAGAACTTCTATTGGAGTGTGGCCACAGCAGCATATCAGGTTATAAAAAGAAACATGCCTTGATATAGAACTTTATGAAGAAAATTGTGGAAATTATTGAGAGATTTGTTAGATCTGGCCTGAATAGCCACTGGATAGACCGTTAGAATGCTTGTATGAAGTGGTGGTAGTGGAAAATTAGGGGATTCACCAACTAGACTACCATGGAAGGGGCTTGTGTGGGGGAAAAGCTTGTGAGATTACAGACTGGGGTTAGAAGGGTGAAGAGGAACTGGACAGTATGGCAAAGGAATGAGATTGGCAGAGAGCAATATAGACCAGGGGTATCAAACTCGGGGCCTGCGGGCCGGATGCGTTACACACTAGCCACGCCCATCCCCAATTTAGTGAAGGGGGGAAGTCGCTAAATGTCACGTGACGACAATGTGACCCCTTGAAATAATAAGTTTCAAGATTTACTTGCATTTTTGGATGCCAGGTAGCTGGGAGACTTGGACTCAGGGTGCTATTACTAAATGCCAAATCTTGTTATAATAAGGCCTTAATCCTCTGCTATATGGAAAGGGAAGTCTGTATGTAGTCCTGTATGTATAACTGTATCCTAATTTGGAGATATTCATGTTTCAAAAGCTATAAGTCTAAGGAAGGGCCAGAGTAGAGCAATGATCCCCTTGGCTATGATCAGATGCTCTGCTTTGCTAGCGGTACTGCTTGTTTATCACCCAACATGCTGGCCAGCAGTGTCCTTATCTGAGTTGCTGGATTTGATAATTTGACAGGGATTGGATTCCCCATCTGGTCGTCCTGGGGAACTTCAGAATCCATTCACTGTGAGAGTGGGACTGGTTGAGAAATTCATGGACTACGTGGTAGAGATTGGCTTCTCCCAAGTGGTAATTGGTGTAACTGTATGCTGGTTCTAGGATGTCTGGACTACTCTTTTTTCTAAATTAGTCTTTATCTTGATGATGGTGAGCTACCACTTTAATGATAATTCAAATCACATAATAAAGAAACATGCTTATTAGACCAGATGAAGTTTATAAGATTAACAGGAATTCTTCCCTTGGCAAATTTATTCAAACTCCAGAAAAAAAAATGGGAGGAAACATACAACATTGCCAGTTCTTAAACTGTCTCTCTTTTTCTTATAGTCAGTATAATCATGCTGCTAATTTGTACTTAGCAGTGAGTCATTGAAGTGAGAGCCAACGTCTTAGTCTAGGGTTGGGCAGCAGAGCTGGGTTCAAATTCCTGTTCAACCATAAAGAGCCTCTGTCATTCGCATTCTCTCCATCTAAATTTACAGTCTTTTGGTAAGGATCAAAATGGGGTTAAAAGTCTATAGAAATTCTCAGTTATCCAGGTCATGGTTGTCCCAAAGGTGCTTTTTCAGGAGGCAACTGGACTTTTCTTGTTTTTTCATTGAAGGCATTTCGCTTCTCATCCAAGAAGCTTCTTCAGCCCTGACTGGATGCTGGATGAACAGATTTCCAGAGGGAAAAAAAATTGCAGACTACAGAAACCATTTGCACCATTCAGGTGACCCTGAGAACACAGATAAACCTGCAGATGGCCTTAACGACGCTCTAAAAGGATGCAAATGACCAGATGTCTGCAAGGAATATAAAGCCTTCCGTTCCCCACCATCCAGTCAAAGCTGAAGAAGCTTCTTGGATGAGGAGCAAAATGTCTTCAAAGAAAAAACAAAAATCCAGTTGCCTCCTGAAAAAGCACTTTTGGGACATCAAAACAGGGTGCATATGTGTGATTATTTACTAGCAGGAAAATTGTAATAAACCTAAGATAAATAACTTTCCTTTTATTAAAGATCGAAGGAGCTTGGAGAGAGGATGGGAAAGGCCTCAGTATTTGGGACCAGTTTGCTCACACGCCTTTGAAAATCGACAGCGATGATAATGGAGATGTAGCTTGTGACAGCTATCACAAAATAGAGGCAGATGTGGCTGCTCTGAACGATATCAAGGTGACCCACTATCGTTTTTCAATTTCCTGGCCTCGCATTCTCCCAGATGGGACCACCAAGCATATCAATGAAGCTGGCCTGAAGTACTATGAAAGACTTGTGGATGCACTTCTTGCAGCAAATATCCAACCTCAGGTAAAATAAACAGCGTGAGATTCCTTACAATCTACTACAGCAGGGATCTCCAACCTTGGCAACTTTTTAAGCCTAGCGGACTTCAACTCCCAGAATTTCCCAGCTGGCTGGGAAATTCTGGGAGTTGAAGTCCGCCAGACTTAAAGTTGCCAAGGTTGGAGACCTCTGTACTGCAGCATATGTTTGTAAAGGGGAATAAGATGTCATCATTCAGGTTTAGAATGAGATGATTTGTTATATACAGGTAGTCCTTAACTTATGACCACAATTGGGGACAGAATCTCCATTGCTAAGGAAGGTAGTTGTTAAGTAAATTGTGCCCAGTGTTATGCCCTTTTTTTGCCAGAGTTGTCAGGAACCACTGCAGTTGTTACGTGAATGGCATGGCTGTTAAGTGAATCTTGTTTCCCCCATTGACTTCGATTTTTGGAAGCCAGTTGGGAAGGTCAAAAATGGTCATCATATGATTCTAGGATGCTGCAATCATTGTAAATATATGCCAGTTACCAAGGCACCTGAATTTTGATCCTGTGACCATGGAGATGCTGTGACAATTATAAGTATGGGAACCAGTTGTAGGTCATTTTTTTCAGTGTCACTATAACGTCTGTCACGAAACATGGTAGTAAGTCTAAGACTACCTATAGTCAAGATTGGGTATACAATACTCAGAAGAACTACTGTGTTTCCCTGAAAATATGACTGGGTCTTATTTTCTTTTGGGTCCCAAAATAGGCACTAGGGCTTATTTTCAGGGAGTATCTTATTTTTTCCCCCATGTACAGGAGGCCCAGTTCTTCTGCTTGCTCATGGTGGGGCAGGAGGCTGGCTGTGCAGGCTCTTAAGTAGGGCTTATTTTGGGGGTAGGACTCATATTAGGCACATACATAAAAATCATACTAGGTCTTATTTTCAGGGTAGGTCTTGTTTTCAGGGAAACAGGGTAGGTACAGGAACTCCTCTACCAAGAGCCTTGGTAGCGCAGCAGACTAAAGCACTGTTAAGTAACACCAGCTGCCTGCAATTAGTGCAAGTTCAAATCTCACCAGGCTCAAGGTTGACTCAGCCTTCCATCCTTTCGAGATAGGTAAAATGAGGACCCGGTTTGTTGGGGCAATAAACTGACTTTGTATAAAAAAGAACACCGCTTGGGGGGGCGGGGGCGAAAGCCCTACTAAGCAGGTATATACAAAAGTATGAAGGTTATTGCTTAACACATTGTAAGCTGCCCTGACTCTCCGGAAAAGGGCGGCATATAAATCAAACCAATAAATAAATAAATAAATAAATTACCACAATTGAGCCCAAAATTTCTGTTGTTAAATGACACATTTGTTAAGTGAATTTTCCCCCCTTTTATGACCTTTCTTGCCACAGTTGTTAAGTGAATCTGGCTTCCCTATTGACTGCTTGTCAGAAGGTTGCAAAAGGAGATCAAATAACCCCAGGACACAGCAATGGTCATAAGTATGAACCAGTTGCAAAGCATATGAATTTTGATCACATGATCATGGGGTTGATACAAAGATTGTAAGTGTGAAAAATGGTCATAAATTGCTTTTTCCAGTGCCGTTGTAACTTGGAACGGTCACTGAATGAGCTATTGTAAGTCAAGAACTACCTGTACTGTCCACTGATTTCCAATACTCCAAAAAATTAAAATAAACAAAATGTCGCAAGAATATGCATGTTTGTGAGATTTGCACTACTCTTTCTTTATTTCCACCCAAATATCTGCAAAGAAGCCGAATACAGTATGATTGCATGTACAACATCTCTTAATTGATAGCATAAAGGTTTCAACGTGGAAGCATTTCACGTTTGTTGACTCGAGCATTATATAGTTGCACCCCATGACTTGACTGTGGTTTTGTAGAAGAGTTTAATAAACCATTTCTCCCAAAGTAATATTTTACAGCTTGCCACTACACAGATAACTAGTTAATTGAACAAAAAAAATGATAAGACTATTGTAAATGCATGTCTTAAATTCTAGATAACCCTGTACCACTGGGATCTCCCTCAGGCCCTCCAGAATATTGGAGGGTGGGAAAACGAGACCATCATTCCGAAATTTAAAGATTACGCAGACCTCGTTTTTCGAAGATTGGGAGACAAGGTGAAATTTTGGATAACTTTAAATGAGCCTTATGTCATTTCCAACCTTGGTCATGGTTATGGAGTGTCTGCACCAGGTAAGGTCTTTTGCTAATTCTTCTTGTTTGTAGGAAGAATACTTTAGAAAAACGGGAGGATATTGTTGATTATTAAAATCTTCGTTGACCCAGGAAAGGATAGTTTTGCAATTAACAGAGAACTTAAAATTCCAGGTTTAATCTAATATAAAAGTAGCCTTTAGCCTTTCAAGCAGTGGTGAAATGCAGCTGATTCTATCCGACTCTGGCAAACTGGTAGCACTGGCGGCAGGATGCTCCGCCCACCCGCCCGGACGTCATCACGTCCCCTTTTTGACGCTCTGTGCATGCACAGAAGGTCCTGCGCATGCGTAGAGGTGTTGTGCGCGAGCGAAGTGAGCATGCACATGCTCCCATTTGCGAACCGGTAGCAAAAGTAAGTGGATTTCACCCCTGCTTTCAAGTGTTACTGAATTATACATTTCGGCCACTTCAAGGACCAATCAGGACCAATTGTGAGGGATTCACGGGTTCCTTACCCTTAACCCAGTATTCCTAACTCTTCTAAACAGAGCATCAGGAACAGAAGTAATTAATGAAAGACATTAATGGAGCTAAGAGCTTTGGAAAAACCGAATAGCAAATCTCTTCTTAGATGAACAAGTTCTGAATTTTCTCTTGGGTCTGTTAATTAATCTTGTTAGAATGTCTGAGAAAGTCACAGGAAACATCCAATAGATTTCTACAGGAACAACAGAGCGTGCAAGAAATTGTTATAAGCCATGTATAAGCCCTTTACTCCTTTGTTATCTTAGGCCAGATCTGCTGTGGCTATGCTGCCAAACCTATTCAAATTTTTCTAGTTCTTCCTCTTAAGCCAATGGGCCGTGATAAACTTCAACTGCATGTATTTGGAAGTCTGCTGTTCTTTAAGCAACACAAGTTATTCTCAGCCACTTATATAACTGATATTGGGGCATAGGGAAGAATGGCTTTAAGACAGACGTGTAACTGTGTAAATGAGTTGCGGAAAAGCTTCAGCTTAGAGTTTTTAGTTAACCACAGAGTGGGGATTCACACAGGCCAGAAACTGATATACATTTCAGAAATATAATATGTATAATGTTTAATTATAATTTATTTTTTTGAACAAGGGAATTATTTCTTTAGGATCGCCTTTAAATTTAGTATCGTTATGTCGGTGATTGTCCAATCATCAAAGCAGTAAAATGGATCTCTGCCACCACTTTAGTATAATATTCTGAAAGAAGAAGAAAACGCACATTTTAAGAGGTTATCTCCTTGCAGAAAAGCAAATAGATTAAAATCTATGATTAAAATATAACCATTGGTACTCCTGTAGCTGCAGAGTTAACCATTCCCTTGTCACTGTTTTCTCAGGCATATCTGGAAGACCTGGTCGTGCCCCTTACATTGTGGGACACAATTTGATCAGGGCACATGCAGAAGTGTGGCATCTCTACAATGAAACCTACCGTCCCAGACAAAAAGGGTTGATCTCACTTTCCATCAGTATCGAGTGGGCCGAACCAAAGAACCCTCACAAACAGGAGGATTATGAGGCTGCTGAGAGATACGTTCAGGTAATACAATATCTGTAACAATGAGGACACCCCCCCCCCCTGGACTCTAGGTTGTTGCTGGACCACACCTTCCATCTGGTTTCATCACAAATTATACAGTATTACCTAAGGAGCAGTTGAGATACAAGCTATCGGTAATCAGGACACAATGTTGAGAAGGTCCACCATTTCATAAATTAAATAATGATATAAACCAGGGGTGTCCAGTTTTGGCAACTTTAAAACTTGTGCAGTTCAACACTCAAAATTCTGGGAGTTGAAGTCCACAGATCTTAAAGTTGCCCAGATTGGACACTACGATGTAAACTCTATCATGTAATCCCAATAAGGTCTATAGTTTTGCTTGGTTTTAAAGCCAAAGAGTATGTATTGTTCTATTAAATAAAATCAACAGAAACAGTTTGGGTATTCAGTAGGTATCAGTATCTAATCTGTACTTGGATTATGAAAAATGTTAATATCCCTGAGATATAAAATAGTGCACAATCAGCTTCAGTCTTCAAGTATGAGGAGAGAACAACAATTGATCAGGTTTTGTGTTCTTCTAGATGGAACATGCCTTCTATATGTTAATCCTTGCTTACTCCAATTTTAAAACAAGAGTAGCATGGCAGCATGCACACCTAAGATGCTAGGAAGTAAGACCAGCTCAGATTTTTCCAACTTGGTTCAGAATAATTGTGCTACTTCAGAAATACTGTAAGCTTATATTCAGAAATCTGGAAGGTGGTTTATTTGGAATAGGCTGGTTAAGATTATGAGTAGCTGAAATGTGCAACATTTATTTACGGTATAGCCCATTTTTATTATCTTTGTAAATAATTCAAAGCGGCTATGCTTTAGGGTACATCTGTTCATATACATGCCTTTCAGTGTCACACTTAGAAGTGGAACCTAGTGAATTCCTTGGGAAGAAAAATATAGTCTAATGAGTAGACATTCATATCTACTTTTTTGTCTTTTTTAATTCATGCCTTTTTAAGAAAGCATTTTCAGAAGGGGAATCATGAACCTTAAGAGCTTCATGCTTCTATTATTACTTGTGCTGTAATGGTTAAATTGGTGGACTAGGAATGGGAAGGTTCAGGTACGAATTGCCCTCAGCTACAGAGATTCACAGGATAAATTTGAGGCAGTCCTCTTGTAGCCCAACCTACCTCATAGTTTGTTGAAGAAGGGGAAAAAAGGGGGACCCCTATACACACTGCCTTGAGCTCCTAAATGAAAGTAGTATGAAATAAATGTGCAATATTTGGGAATACTTTAAAAAACTTGTAGATGTTGTTTTATTTCTAAGGAGGGAAGGGCTGATGCTTTTAATCACACACCGCCAATGCTATGTGGATAGGAGCTGGTGTTCTAGCTGTAGCTATAAGTACTAGTACTATTTTTGCATTGTATTCAGCAGATGGAGAGTATAGGTAGACACTCTCAGAGAGTATAGGTAGACACTCTCAGAGATTAGACATTCAGCAGATGGAGAGTATAGCTCAGACACTCTCAGAGATTAGGGCTAGTAGGACACCAACAAGATGTCCTCGGAAGACAAGTGACTGCAGCTGTAACTACCAAGCAGCTACATCAAGATTACAATGTGGAGACTCAACTGGTGTCTTGGGGAAGAGGTTTGAGGAGCTGCTCTTTCAAAAATAAGTTGGTTAATGTGTGTATAGTTCTTGATTTCTTGTGATGTCCCGCCACAGTTTTTTGCTGGTTGGTTTGCTCATCCCATTTTCAAAACCGGCGATTATAGTGATCTGATGAAAAAGAGGATACAGGAAAGAAGTTCTGGCAAATCACGGTAAGTGATTCACAGAATAGTTCTCGGGATAAACTATATTAAAAAAAAATCATTGAATAAGCCATCGCTCTCCACTGCCTTATGTCACAAAAGGAAAAGGAATGGGAGACAGAAGGAAAAGGGAATCCAAGTGCCAGCTGTTAAAAATGAAATAATCTTATGGGGATGACCAATTATCTCAGCAACCGTATGGGAATTGGGGAGCCCTGATGGTTGGTGTTTCTTCAGAGCTTTTTGAATGTTTCTAAATGGTGGTGAGGAGTCTGTTGGCAAACTCCTTGGAACAATCTGGTCAGCTTCCTCAACCCACTGTCAGGATATCTTCTTTTCTGGTGACTTCAAAAAGCTATGAAGGACAAGAGGAGAAAGATGCTGGGAGGTGGGATAAGGTGAGATGAAATGAAATCATGGGAGCAGAGGATTCTTGCTAGTGGAAACACTTAAATACTCATCTCAATGGTGCTTTTTCAAACAGCAACTGGACTATGTTTTTTTTCATTGAGGAAGAAAAAGAAAGAAAGAAAGAAAGAAAGAAAGAAAGAAAGAAAGAAAGAAAGAAAGAAAAGAGGGAAAACAAACATAGTCCAGTTGCCTTTTGAAAAAGCACCTTGAGACAACCATGACTTGGATGACTGAAAATCTCCATAGATACTAAATGTTCATGAAATTTGTGAAACTGCAGAAGTTCAAGAGAAGGCTAGTGTTCATTTCTACTACAACAGGGGTGTCAAACTGGATTTCTTTGAGGGCCAGATCAGCACTCTCATTCTCCTCCATGTGCCAGGCCAGGGGGAGATGGAACGCATGCCTCCTGCAGCACTCTCCTGGCCAAAATGGGGCATGGGGGGGCACTCGCAGCCCCCCTGCATCCCATTTTTAGTCTGGATGGCCTCCTGCAGCACTCTGCTGGCCAAAATGGGGTGTGGAGGGGCCCTGGGGCCACATTTTGGCTGGCAGAGTGCTGCAAGAGGCCGTCCAGGCTGAAAACAGGGCACGGGGAGGCTGCGCTCAGCCCCCCACACCCGATTTTGGCTGCCAGAGGCACAGCAGGGCGGTCCTTTGCTATTTCCCTGCTGGCCCTGTGGGTCTTGAGTTTGACACCCCTGTGGTACAACAAAACCAGCAGTAAAACAACTTAATTCCTGGTTCCAGATCCTGGGCGGCTCCATGGTTTACTGCGGAGCTCAGGGAAATGAAGCGTCGGAAAAGACGCCTGGAGGGTGGTTGGAGATCCTCCCGATCGGAATCTGACCGGACACAGCTAAGAACCCATATTAGGTCTTATCTTGTGGCAATGGAAGCAGCGAAACGGCAGTACTTCGCCGCTCTCATTGCATCTGCAGAAAACCGCCAGCCGCCCTGTTTAGGGTGACCCGCTCCCTCCTTAATCTTGGAGCGAGGGAGGACACCTTGCAGGGCCGAGCTGAGGATTTTGCACAGTTTCTGCAAGATAAAATCGCTCAGATCCGGACCGGGCTGGACTCTGACTGGGCAGAATCCACTGAGGAGACTGGGGCTTGTCTTAGCGGGGACAGCTCGGTTGAGTTTGAGCCTGTTTCGTTGGATGAAGTGGACAGGATTATGGGTCGGCTGGGGACCTCCACGTGTTTATTAGACCCGTGTCCCTCCTGGCTTGTTTCGGCAGCCAGGGAGATGACCGGAGACTGGATCCAGGCTGTTGTCAACACTTCGCTGAGGGAAGGGGTTTTCCCCACTGCACTCAAAGAGGCAGTGGTTCACCCCCTCCTCAACAACCCAACCTGGACCCTGACTCCCTTAATAACTACCGTCCAGTCTCCAATCTCTGCTTTTTAGCGAAGGTTGTCGAGTCCATCGTGGCACAGCAATTCCCTCAATTCCTGGAGGAAACTGACTACCTGGATCCTTACCAATCTGGTTTCAGGCGCGGTCACAGCACGGAAACGGCATTGGTCGCCCTGGTGAATGATCTCTGGCGGGCCTGTGATGGGGGTTGTTCCTCCATCCTGGTCCTTCTTGACCTCTCAGCGGCTTTCGATACCATCGACCATGGTATCCTACTGCAGTGACTCGGGAGGTTGGGGATAGGAAGCACTATTCTGCAATGGTTCTCGTCCTATCTCTCGGGCCGCTTGCAGTTTGTATCGGTGGGGGGTCAGAGATCCTCCCAGAGGCCCCTCATTTGTGGGGTGCCTCAGGGATTGGTTCTCTCCCCCCTGCTCTTTAATATCTATATGAAGCCGCTGGGTGAGATCATTCGTGGTTTTGGGGTGAGGTATCACCAATATGCGGATGATACCCAACTTTATATCTCCACCCCAGATCACCCTAGGGATGCCCTTTCCATGATGTCCCGTTGCCTGGAGGCGGTGCGGGCTTGGATGGGTACGAACAGACTTAGACTCAACCCATCCAAGACTGAGTGGCTGTGGATGCCAGCATCTCAGGATCTAGAGGTACCATCTTTAGTGATAGGAGGGGAGACTTTTTCCCCCTCTGCTAGGGTTCGCAATCTGGGTGTCTCCTGGATTCTTGGCTGTCCATGGATGACCATCTGACGGCCGTAACCAGGGGGGCCTTTGCACAAGTACGTCTTGTGCGCCAGTTGTGCCCTTTCCTAGACCGAGATGCCCTTGCCACAGTCACCCACCCCCTTGTTACTTCTCGGTTGGATTACTGCAACGCCCTCTACATGGGGCTGCCCTTGGGATGCATCCGGAGGCTCCAGCTGGTCCAGAATGCGGCTGCGCAGGTAGTTATGGGAGTTCCTCGTTATTCCCGTGCAACACCTCTCCTGCGCGAGCTGCACTGGCTGCCAGTTGCTCTCCGGGTCTGTTTCAAGGTGCTGATGCTTACCTATAAAGCCCTACATGGCTTAGGCCCAGGGTACTTGCAGGACCATCTTCTGCCTTCCTCCCACCGCTCCGTGCGCTCCCACAGAGCAGGCCTCCTCAGGGTGCTGTCAGCCAAACAATGTCAACTGGCGGCCCCCAGGGGGAGAGCATTCTCTGTCGGAGCGCCGACCCTCTGGAATGATTTGCCCACCGAGCTCAGGATAGCCCTGGACCTCCTCTCCTTTCGCCGCAAACTGAAGACGTGGCTCTTCCGTCAAATAACTTGATCTGCTAGGGGTTGCACAAACTGTAATAATTTTAAATATGGTTTTTAAGGGGTTTTTAACTTATTTTGTGATTTTGTGATTTGTATTATTGATTGTTGTTGTACGTCGCCCTGAGTCCTTCAGGAGAATGGCGGCATATAAATCGCATGAATGAATGAATGAATGAATGAATGAATGAATGAATGAATGAATGAATGAAACTGGGCATGTTCAGACCAAATTCTGAATTACCGAAGAACATCCACTGTTCTTATGCTCTTGATAAAAGGTCAGTTTTCAGTGCCCTGCTTTTGCCTTTTTGCGATGACTAAGTGCCTACATCGGCATTTATGCTACATTATAAATCACAGAGCCCAGCTGATATAGTAATATGTAACCTTGCTATTCCTTTGTAATAAATGTATCATGTAAAAATCTATTTTTCTATTTCCATATATGTTTGTGTTATGTGTGATGCAGGCTCCCTGAATTTACTGAAAGTGAAAAGCGAAGAATTAAAGGCACATATGACTATTTTGGCTTGAATCATTATACCACAATCCTGGCATCCAATTTAAATTTTCCTGCTTTTATAACATCCTATGATGCGGATAGGTAAGCTGCCAGCATGATTTTGTATTGCATTAATTTTGCACCAAGTAATCCTAATAAAAATAAAATACAAAGTTAGCCGTTGTTGAGGATGAAATTACTGGATTTTGTGATTGCACAGCATTTTACCATTATGTTGTTATTTGATAAAATGAGAATCTTCCCATGTTTTGAGAGCTCTGGTGGTGCAGCGGTTAGAATGCAGTATTGCAGGCAAACTTTGCCCACAGCTAGGAGTTCGATCCTGCTGGGGCTCAAAATTGACTTAGCCTTGCATCCTTCCAAGGTCAGTAAAATGAGGACCCAGATTGTTGGGGGCAATATGCTGACTCTGTAAACCATTTAGGGAGGTCTGTAAAGCAGTGTGGAGTGGTGTATAAGCCAATTTTGAAGCAACTTATACATCACTTGTTACAGGCACAAATTTCCATAAGACTATGTAGATGGCTGGTTCTCAAAGAGCCAGAAACTGTTATGTATTGATCTTTGGTATACATATGTATTGTTTGTCCAGTAAAAAATAAATTTTGTGGATACCTCTACTACTTCCAGCATGTCTGTAAATGGATATCATTTCTATCGAATAGGTCCTTAAATGAAATCCTAGTGCATAAGTGGCCCAACTCCTTATAGTTACAGTTGTCTGTGTCCTCACTTTTGCTCTATGCATCTCATTGCCTAAGTGATCAATATTCAGATGCTGTTACTTTGGGAATCACTGGAATGTTAACTTTAAAAAGAAATGTAAATACATAAAATGTTCTTAACATTATGTACGTTCAAATTAAGGCAACAATTCCAAACGTTTATTTTATTACAGGGACACCAGTATTTTTGCAGATCACAGTGAATGCCAAAATCTCATGAGATTTTAAGAGAATGTCAACATCTCATGACATCGCATAAGATGTTGGCCAATTTTTTGTTACTTTCATTTTTACTTAGCCTTGCTCTATGGGCCATTTATGGTATCCTTGCAAGCCACCAGTAAATAATTGGAGCATAAAATTGAAAGCCAATGCTTTGAAAACTACGGATTATTTCAACAATAATTTCTTGAAAATAATCTTATATATAACTCTAAATTGTAAATCCTTTTGGTAAGCATAAAGCCTGGGTTCAAAACCAAATAACAACTTGTTGTTTATCTCTACATTGTTTATCCCATAGTGATAAACAACATCTACATGCTATTCAAAAGAGACAATCAAAAAGCCTAAAAAGAAATAAAACACCTCACTAGCAATCAAAACCCAGATGAGCAAAGATTAACATCAAGATTAACATTAGACCAACAATCAAAAAGGAAACAATACCCCAATCAAAGAATTAACCAAGTCAGTCAAGTAAGCTAACAGTAAACAGCCTAATCGAGGAACCAACAAGACCACTTCCACCAACACTGACAGAGCAAGCCACTTGCATATAAAAAGAGAGTAAACCCATACCCTTCTAGCATTGATGATGTTACCTTGGGGGGGTAATGAGAAGTCTTTAATAGCACCAAAGAGCCCATATATTTATGTTTGCTTTGACAGAGGTGTTGCTTCCATAGTAGACCACAGCTGGCTGGGTTCTGGCTCGTTTTGGTTGAAAGTGACTCCATTTGGCTTCAGAAGGCTCTTAAAATGGATCAAAGAAGAATACAATAATCCACCTATTTATGTGACTGAGAATGGAGTTTCTGAACGTATAGATAGAGGCTTAAATGATACCTGGCGTATGCATTATTTAAAGAGTTACATCAACGAAGCATTAAAAGGTATGTGGTTTTCCTTCCACAAGTTGTCTCCAAATCCAGTTAATCCTTCTACTTTATCTCTATTTTCCCTGAAAGAGTGAGCATTTAGCTAATTTTCCAATGAATGCATGTAATGGAGAAAGAACCTTTGCTGGCATGGAGATGGGTTTTGAGTACAGAAGTGAGAAAATAAATTCTAACCTTGTGAATGACTATAGTGAATGATATGGTGCAGAATTTCCAGAGTTTTTGAAAATTTAATCCCTATTGCAGATTTAGTTATTCTGCTAACTGTGTAGCATTGGAACAAGCTAGCTTAGTAATTGCTATTTATTATTTTTTAAACCTTTGTGAGTGTGTTAAATGCTGTGTATGGTGTGTAGAGAAAAAATGAACTCTAAAAATATTAGCAAGAATAGGTTAGCATTTGTAACGTTAACAATATTAAAAATTAGTTAAAATATATTACATAAGGATGCTAAGACTTTATCAGGACTACTAGAATGGAGATTTTCCTGAAAAGGGAGCTAATCGAAACTAGTTGACCATTTGAGGTTACTTCCAACTTGATGGCTTGATGTTTTACTAAAGGAAGGAAGAGGCTAATGATCAACTACCTCTAATATATAATCAATCTCTCCCTGAAAAAAACGTGAAAGCAGCAAAATGGCAACCATCTATTCACTGCCTATATTCAGCTATCCTTACTGAAAATATTGAAAGCCAGTTTGGTGTAGTAGTTAAGATGGTTATGGTGCAGGCCAAGAAACCAGGAGACTGAGTTCTAGTCTCATTTTAGGAATGAGAACCAACTGATTGACTTTGGGCCAGTCATTCTCTCAGAGCTTAACTCGCCTCACAGGGTTGTTGTTATGGGGAAAATAGGAGGGAAAAGGAACATGGCATGTTCATAATCGTGTGTGTGTGTGTGTGTGTGTGTGTGTGTGTGTGTGTGTGTGTGCAGTAATAAAAATCAAAAATAAAAAGTGCATAGTTTTCAATTTAATTAATTAATTAATTAATTAATTTATATACCCTTCTCCCAAAGGGACTCAGGGTGGTGTACAGCCAGCATAAAACACACAAATATAAAATTTAAAAACAATTTAAAAATATTAAATAGTTTGGCCCATATCTAATTAAAATAAAACTACCCGATTTAAATGTTTAAAAAATTAAGAATTGACAATTAAAAAATTTTAAAAATTAGGCCAGCCCAGCTTGTTGAAATAAAAGCGTCTTGAGGGCCCGGCGGAAGGTGCATAAGTCGGGAATCCTCCACATCTCGGGGGGCAATTTGTTCCAGAGAGCAGGAGCCCCCACAGAGAAAGCTATCCCCTTGGGGGTCGCCAGCCGACATTGCTTGGCCGACGGCACCCGGAGGAGCCCCTCTCTGTGGGAGCGAATTGGCTGGTGGGAGGTTATTGGTAGCAGCAGGCGGTCTTGTAAAATTAATGTATAGTAGGCTATCTTAAAAGCTATTTTTTCAACACACTTTACATTAAACTTAAGTTTACTCACTCTATATGCCTGGCTGTAGGATTTCCTTCTGTGCATACTCCTTCAAGATGAAGTTTTGAAAGCAGTCCAGATGCTTACAGAGAGGCTGCAACCCAAATTATTTAGGAGTCTGCATTGTGTATGAATTTGTAATTAAACTTGTATAAAACCACACTGTAAGAATCTCTCCCCTTCCCTGTTTTATATATATAACAGGAGTTGTATTTGATGGTGTTGATCTCCGAGGTTACACAGTTTGGACTTTGATGGACAATTTTGAATGGGCAGTGGGCTTCTCTGAAAAATTTGGCCTGTATTACACCAACTACACAGACCCCAATCTAACTAGAATTCCAAAAGAGTCTTCCAAATATTACTCATCTATTATCCGCTGTAACGGCTTTCCAGATCCAGCTAATGGACCTCATTTGTGTTTGGAACCACAGCCTGAAGGTAGGTATATTATAAGCAGAAAAGGACCAGCTTTAAAGGGTATGTTAAGAGAATTTTAAAAGTATTACTATTCTTTTAACTGTAATAATTGTACCAGTCTGGACACAATTTTATATGGTAGGAAAACCCCGCAAGAGATTGAGATTCTCAGAAGGAAGTTGCAATGCAATAGTCAGCTAGTATTGATACGAAATACTGTCATATCTGGTGCTGAAAGGAACAGCTTAATGAGCATCTTTCTAAAAATGCCAAAACAAATTAGTCCGCATCTATTTGTCTTTGATTTTGGAGCATCCCCAAGAGGAATACTCAAGAGAATAGCCTCCGAGATTGAAGCTAGAATACAGGAATTTTCCTTTTTACAACTATGAAGCAAACCCAATGGGTCTTGTTCCCTATACATGCCACTGACAGTAATGATCTTCTCTACTTGAGGTTGGTTTGAGGCAGTGGTAGGTTGCCCCCAATTCGCACTGGTTCTATAGAACCAGTAGTAAAACCGGCGGGAGGCCCCGCCCACCGATCCCGACATCACCAAAAAGCTTCTGCGCATGCGCAGAAGAGTGCACGCGAACCGGTAGTAAAGGTAAGTAGAACCCACCCCTGATTTGAGGTGTTTGAAAGTTACCAGGGCAATTTTTTAGGCAGCATATTTGGATGTACCAGTTTACAAATCTTACATAATTACTTTACCTTTGTAGGTACTACTAAACCACCAATTACAAACACTACTCTGCCACTTACAAGCTCAACAACTACTAAACCACCAATTACAAACACTACTCTGCCACTTACAAGCTCAACAACTACTAAACCACCAATTACAAACACTACTCTGCCACTTACAAGCTCAACAGCTACTAAACCACCAATTACAAACACTACTCTGCCACTTACAAGCCCAACAGGACTGGAAGATATCAAGAAAGTGCCATTTTTGGGACTGGACTTGACTTCATCTGAGGCTGAAATAGCTCTTTATGTTCTATTTGTCCTATGCTTGCTGGCTATACTAGGTTTCGCAGGTTCCCTATGTGCATTTAAAAAGGCCAAAAATATGAGGAGATAATCAGCATTTTAGTAATCAGGAACATGTTTTGCTTTCTCATCTGAAGACTTTGAGCCATGCATATTTGAAGCTCCCTCTCATCTATGAACTTTAAAAGTACATTATTTGTACAAGTATGTAACAATGTGCATCAATTAGGGATATCATTTTGATTTTTTTTTGCACCCAAGATATAATTCCTTAAGAATTATACAATTTTGGGACATTGTTTTGCTGTGACTATGAAGTTCAAACTAACACACTCTTAATGTAGTGGGAAACACACATGCACCTGTGCGTAAAAAGTATTTAAGTGTGTTTCAGAAAAAGAGGGCCATTTGTTCAGAATTTCACAACTAATCAATGAAAATTGGTTCTTGTATGCAAATGTAATAAAGAAGAAAAATAGTTAATGGCTTCACTACATTTGCCAAGTTTCGCAATTATTTCTGAGAACCAAATAATTGTAACAGGTACTAGCTGGAGACCTTTGGGCTTCATTTACTGTGACATTAACTTTCTCAATTCCACAGAAAGCATAGCTTAAAGTTAACACATTCACAATATCAGTGTTTGCTATGATAAAGATACTGAATTTTAGCCAGATAGGTGGTTAGTGAATTCTGCTTACACTTCGATGTGAAAAAGGGGCAGAATTGAATTGTTTTTCTGTGAAATCTGTCCATTCATAAAACAACCAACCTCAATCCAATCAGCCTCCCCCCCCCCCCCCCAAAAAAAAAAAAAAAAAAGCATGCCTGGAGAAATTGTAGTCAACAGATTATACAAAACGATATTTTTGGGGTTAATGGCTAGTGTTAATCCAATCTTTGCCTATGATAGCTCTGCATTTTCAGTGAAGGCCTAAAAAGAACCCTTTTTTTTCCTATGGGTAGTTTGCCTGCTGTAGCCAGTTCTACAAATGTCTTTTCTTTCGATTGTTCTACTGCACTATACTGCATGAAATAAATATATAACAAACATGACTCTGAAGCACATTAGCACAAATGTGGGGTTGAAAAAAGAACTATAATTTATTACTTTTCAAGCAGCAGCACAAGTTATTAAGACATTTGGCTTGGACTGAACTTGCTAGCCATAATGTCAAGCATTTAAGGACTTTAAAATCTCTTCTGAACACCCCTGGATCATCTCAAGTCAAATAAGAGGCAACAAAGAAGGATGTTGATATTGATCCTGTACCCAAAAAGGTGTAAGAGAAAAACAGGACATCTATTTTTGTATTTTAACATACTTTATATATGTAAAAAGACTGTGAACTAGATTGAACTGTGAATCTGAGTAATTGTGTTTTTCATTTTTCTGTTGTACTCTACTTTTCCCTTTGATTTTTAAAAGGTCTTGAGGCAAGAAACATTAAAAATTAATCTGACCCTTCCTGTATTTCTGTTGCTATGTACAAATAAATAGTTGAACCAAACACGTGATACAGTATAATTAATGGTAACCACAGCAGCCATGTTGAATCACCAGGCCTAGGCCCCAAATAGGATCTGTCTCTTTTCCAAATCCCCATGTATACAAGTCAGGAAGACAAGAAATTGTAAGAACTGAGTCTCTTTCTTACAGCATGGGGATCATTCCATAGCGCTCTTTATAAAAAGTATGACACCTCAAAGAACGATCATGTTATGTACCAAGTATTTGGGGAAAAAAACTTTATTGAATGCTGTGAGATAAAAACTATGAATATTGGGCTGTTACAGAAGCATTACAGGGGGAAAAAAACCCTTATCCAAGTCATTAGGATTACACTCTTCTAGGCCGAATGATTTGTTTGGTATTTGGAGATGCCTATTTGTTCAAAGGTTTTATATAGATAAAAAGTGTCTTTAGAGGACTGTATAAGTAGTAAATATGAAATTCTAAATGCTGATGAGACATGGAGGATTTTTATATTGTTTTTGGCAGTAGTTACATTTGCAGAATCTAGCTGCACAAGTGGGTTAGCGTTTATTCCAGGCAGAATACCCAACCAAGCCCACTATGCAGCAGAATGTTTTAACTGAAGCTAAATCAAATAGGAAAAAAATAATCAGTGATTTCTATGTACAGTTTAGTCAGGTTACATTTGTTGGGTCGAATTTCCATTCCAAGTATTATTATCATCCTCTCCATCATCCTGAGTTCTCAATCGGTAGATCTTGCCTTCTTTCTTAAACTCTTCATTCCGTTTTTCCAATACTCGTTTCCTAACTGCTTGTCTGAAGAAGAAAGAAAGAGAGATTGAATACAAATTCCAATAGTGGCAGAATTCAGGCCAATATTAATTCTTGATCAAATTTTTGTCTTTTTCATTCCAAATTTAAGGAAGTTTCTATGAGACGAGAAGATTTAATTTGATCATAAAGCATGGATTCATGTCACAATGTATACACAGACCAGCATTTATGACCATTTGTTCAGCGATTATTCAAAATTATAATGATGCTTAAAAAAATGGACTTACAACCCATGCCCACGTTATGGCTGTTGCAGCTACCCTGAAGTCATGTGATCAACATTTGGGTGCTTGGAGCCCCACCCACACTTACAACTCCAGGGGTGCTACAACTCCTCCCCACCCATCCATGCTTTTTTGGCTTACACTGCACAGTGGTACCCAGCAGTGGGGCTGGGGCTAAAATAGAGGGGACAAGTCCCAGTTGCTACCACTGCCCTGTGCTCCACAGGTCCTGTTGGGCCATCCTTTGCCATTCAATTCTCAGTTAATGATAGCAACCAGGATGCAGGGATTGCAGTCGCTACGTGATGCTGTCATGTAATGTCTCACTTTATGACCGCATCACTTAGCTCTGGAAATTCCAGTCCCAATCTGTGATCATAAATCAAGGACTAACCGTAAGGTGGACTGTTGACTTATTTTCAAAGCATAAATGAGCATCTAAAACATGGAAGTTATATAATAGCTATTTGCAAATGGTGTCAACCCATCCCATTTCCTGAGAATGGCTTAACTTCATCAGTGAAGATGCAACAAACTAGGACAAAACTTGTTGAAGTTTTCAGTCCATCCCATGAGATCAGACAGAACAAGCATAATTCAGGGCTTGACATAAAACAACTAGACAACCCATGATCTTTTGAGTCATTGTTTCAGAGGTATTTCCTTACCAGATTCCTCAATGCCTTTAACAATGGCAGAGCTAACGTACTGCCTACACTGGAAAGATTGGGGTACATTCAGAGATGGATCTCCCTTGAGAATAGGCCAAGTTGAACTGTACAGCACAAATATCAGCACAGGAAATGTTTTATGACATTTTGTATTAAACTGTTTTGTGTCATAAAATATTTCTTAAAAATTGCTGTATTTCAATTCCATGGGAGTCATGGGTCCTGGATTTTGAATGCATTCTGTAAATTAGACCAACTTAAGTAGCTTAGTTCCAAAATTGTTGGCCTATGTTTGCCCAATTAATGGCTACAGGAATGAGCTTTTTAGTACAGGTAGCCCTCGACTTACAACAGTTCATTTAATGACCAAAGTTATGACATCACTGTAAAAAATGACTTATGACCATCCTCATGGTCACGTGACCAAGATTTGGATGCTTGATAACTGGTTTATATTTATGACAGTTGCAGTGTCCCCAGATCATATGAATACCTTCTGATAAGTAAAGTCAATGGGGAACCCAGATTCACTTAATATAAAAATGTACATGAGAAAATAATAGAACAAAAAATAGAAAATGTGTGTTTGATCGGTGACTTTAATGCGATTATGGATGTAAGAAAAGATTATAAAAGTGGTCAGAGAAATAAAAACAAGAAAAATGTATTGCCTAGAACATTTAAAGACTTAGTAGAAGAGTTAAATATGGTAGACAGCTGGAGATTTTATAACCTGGAAGTTAAAAATTTTACATACTATTCGAACCCACATAGGTCCTGGTCCAGGTTAGACGTGGCATGGGTTACTAATACGTTGATGCCAGAAATAGAATCCGTAGAAATATTGTCTAATAAATGGGCAGATCATAACCCAATGATGTTAACATGGAAGGGACGGTGGAGAAAAAAAAGTAGATGGACAATGAATATACAGATCTTGAAAGAAAAGGAATACAAGGAATACATGGAGAAGGAATTAGAATTGTTTTATAAAGAAAATACAAAACAACACACCTCCCTACAAAATTTATGGGACACAACTAAGGCATATGTAAGAGGCCTGACGATAGCCTATAATGCAAAACGGAAAAAAGAGAGGGAAAAAGATTACAATAAAGCATTAGAAGAAATTCAAAAATGGGAAAGAAAATTACAAGAGAATCCGGGAGATGAGCAAATTAAGGTTAATTGGATGGCAGCGAAACATAATCTGAACATATCAGAACAGGGGAAATATGCAATGACATTGAAATACATGAGACAGAATTATTTTGAGCAAGTAAATAAGCCGGGGAGGTGGTTAGCATTGAGGTTGAGGAAAGAGAGGGAAAAGAGAATAATTCAGAAATTACAGGACAAAAAGGGTATAACCCAACAGAGTTTAGAGAAGAAAAAGGAGATAATAATTCAATACTATCAAGAGCTTTATGAGAAAGTGAAATAACAACAGAGGAAATAGAAAAATACTTAAGTGGTGAAGGGATGCCAATACTAATAGAGGAAGAAAAAGAATTACTAGACAAGGAAATTACTATGGGGGAGTTAAAAGAAGCACTGAAGAGACAAACAAATAACAAAACACCGGGGACCGACGGCCTACCAATGGAGTTTTATAAAAGTTTAGGGGACTCACTAAATGAGATATTATTAGAACTATATAATGAGGCATTGACGGAGGCAAAGTTACCAAATACATGGAGGGAAGCATATATTTCCCTGATACCAAAAGAGGGAGCAGATACCACATTAATAAAAAATTATAGACCAATTTCCTTATTAAATACCGATGATAAAATTTTTATGGACATAATTGCAAATAGGATGAAAAAAATACTGAATAATAGAATACATCAGGCTCAAAATGGTTTCTTGTCTACAAGACAAATAAAAAACAATATAAGAATGATAATAAATGTTTTAGAATATTATGAGATGCATCCAGAAAGACAGGTAGCACTGATCTTTCTGGATGTACAAAAGGCGTTTGACCAAGTTAATTGACAGTTTATGATACACCAAATTAAAAATATGAAATTCGGGGAGAAATTTACAAGAATGATATCGTCAATATATAAGAACCAAAAGACTAGTGTATTAGTAAATGGGGACCCAACAAAATTTTTTGGAATAAGTAAAGGAGTAAGGCAGGGCTGCCCATTGTCGCCTTTACTTTTTATTATGACACTGGAAAATTTGTTAATTAGAATTAGGTTGAATAAAGAAATAAAAGGATTAAAAGTAAAAAAAGAAGAATACAAGGTCCAAGCCTTTGCGGACGACCTTGTCTTCTTCATAGAAGATCCAATAAAAATAACACCCAAATTAATAAAAGAAATTGAAGAATCTGGAAATGTAGCCGGTCTAAAAATTAACAAGGAGAAGACTAAAATGATAACAAAAAATATAACAGCAAAACAGGTAGAGAAATTAGCAAAAGATTCAGGATTGCAGGCAGTTAAGAAAGTGAAATACTTAGTGATAAACATGACAGCCAGAAGTATAACGATAAAAGAGAATAACTATGGACCTTTGGTCCAAAAATAAAAGAAGATTTGGAAAAATGGGGAAAATTAAAATTGTCATTGTTGGGGAGAATTGCAGCAATAAAATCAAATATACTACCAAGGCTTCTTTATTTATTCCAAACAATCCCAATAAAATTAGACAAGAAATTTTTTAGCAATTTGGACAAAATAACTACAAAATTTGTGTGGGAAGGGAAAAAAATCAAGAATTAAATTAAGTATATTACAAGATGACAAAATTAGAGGCAGATATGGACTCCCGGCATGGGAAAAATATTATAAAGCCTCAAGTTTAACATGGATCAAAGAATGGGTAACCCTGGAAAATCAAAGATTATTAAATTTAGAGGGCCATGATTTAATGAAGGGATGGCATGCCTTTTTATGGAGTCCTAGAAATAAAATATTCAAGCATTTTAACAACCATATTATTAGGAAATCATTAACTTGACATATGGCAAGAGATAAAAAGAAAACATATGAAAGCCCTCGGTTGGTTATCAACGATAGAAGCAATAACTCATCCCAATTTATTAGCAAAACAAAAATTGTTAAGATATAGAGAAATATTAGATCCACAAGAAGTTTTGAAAACTAGGGAAGAATTTAAAGAACAAGGAATACTAATAGACTGGTGGCCCTATTCACAAATAAAAATAAGATATAGAAAAGATCAGGAAGAGGGAGGAATAGATCCAAAACCAAACAGATTAGATAAATTATTAGAATCCAAGGAAGGAAAATTAGTTTCAAAATTTTACAAATACTTATTAGAATT